GGTTTTTAATTTGTATTTTTTGTTAATTTTGACTTAATCCTTTATCATTTTGCCGCAGCACAGTCCAATTTCTCCCCAAAGCCAATTCTTATCTCACCTCAGTAAAGCCAGACTCACACACACACACACACACACACACACTTGAACAGATTACACACACTTCCCCTGTGAGCCCTCGACCCTCCACCACGGTGTCTACAACCTGTCTGAAAACACAAAGGTCTGTGCCTCCTGTGTACCTCGTGATGGCTCACACTGACAAGCTCTTGTTTTTGATGTACAGTTAGAGAAAGCATTTGCTTGATTGGATTGTAATCCCCTATTGTGAGAGTAAAGGAGCCACTGGCTATTTTTAGGTCTATTTGAGAATATGACAGAGCTTTAGTCGGAGGGCTGACGAGAAAAAAGAAAAGGCTGCATTTTGTTTATGGAGCACCTCCACAAAGCTGCGACGTGCTGAAGCTGCCACATGGAGGAACTTCAGCGTATTTACTGTAAGCTTGTGTTTTTGTTTTTTTTATGCATCCTTCAGTAATTAAAAGTCACACACCATCACTACGCACACACACTCTTCCCTGCCTGAAGCAACAGTAATTTCAGCTTGTGCATTCCTATTTATTTGACAAGTCAGAGGATGAATTTACATGATGACACTGATGCTGCAGCTTGGATTGTTCTGCTCATATGACAGAGATGTAATGAATATAACAGAGTACGTCATGGTGGAAAATGTTATCAGTTTCCCAACATATACTACTGCAAATAGAAAATGGATGGCTTCATATTATTCACATTTTTGTCAAGATAAACATCGCTGCCCTGTTAGTCTGTTAAAGTGATGACTTTGGGTCATTCCAGTATAGCTCACCTTTACATTAATGTTCCTCGTGGCTTTATTCAGACTTACCCACTAGAGTAATGGAGAGTCAATGGACGGCATGTTAGATGACTTATGATGCATGAGGTCAGAGTTTCTTACTGTAACATGGTCGATGAACTTGTGTCCCAGGAGAATTTGTTTTAAAAATGTTAAGCCATTTTCAACTGCAGGAACTTGGAGGCTGTTTTAGGGCAGCCTGAACCTTTTTGTGTTTGTTCCAACTGCAGGAACTGTCCCAGTAGAACCTCTTTCATGGGCAAAGAAACACCAGGGTATTTACTTCTGAGTAGCCCTAAAAAAAAAAAACAACTGTATAGGACTTGATACTGTCCTCATTGAATAGCAGTCCCCTTGTCTCTAACTTTGCCATCAGCATCATAAAATTCACCACATAACATGACAAATCCTTCATGTTACAGTTTTCATATTTCGCAAGTGCTCATAGAGCTGAAGTTGCATCCAGTCACTATCATTTGTTGGAAACGGGCTGATAATAGAACTGTTCCTGCAAATGTTTGTGACACTTCATGTCTGACCCGAATACCTTCAGTTGAAAGCTGCCTATTGCTGTTCAGGGCATTCTCCAAAACAATACACAGGATTAGGTTGCTGGTTTCACAGCGTCACTTCCTAGACTGTCGTGTGGCCCACTTTATGTAACGACGTCAGTACGTCATAATCTTGTGCGTGCTTATCCCTTCATGCTCCTGCCTGCACCTCGGACTAAAAATGTGACTAGGTTCAACTTGCTGTCACAACTTTTAAGGAGAAAGTGAACTGAGTGCTCATTCAGACGTGAGGCCAACACCATCAGTTGCCTTCACTTTTTAAAACTGAAATTGTTCAAGTCTGATCTTGTGTTTATACATTTAAAGACAAGTGTAATATACGGTTTTTCCTAGTTTCTCATCAATGCGGCTTCAAATGAGACATTCAGGGTTTTTTTCCAATGAGCATATGAAGGTCGACAAGGGTCCACATGATGTGAATATTATCTGCCTGAGATACATAGAGTGATCTACTGCACGTGTGGCAGTGTTTCTCAAACAGACAGGAAAGTAGTAACAACGACACGCTCCTGATGTCTGCAGCTCTCCATGTGCACGTCTACAAGAGAGTATAATCAAGGCTTCAGGTGGCAATCTCTGTTTTGTTCTCGCTGGTAGCCCCTATGGCAATGAGCTGCAATCGTGGTATGTTTTTGGACTTCATTTCCCCAAGATCCAATCAGTGTTGCCTGTGTGGTGATGTCAAAAACTGAGTTCACTGCACATGGAAGCAAAAAAGGGAATAATGTCCTGCTTCACACAGACGAGGTATACAAAGGTATACTGGGAGAATTTAGAAATGTTGCAATCACATAGTTTGTCCAGCAGAATGACTCTGATTTCTATTTATTATCCTCTCAGCATTCTCTGCAGCACATGTAGCAGAGTACATGTCACTGCTGAGTCGGGACACTGTAAAACACGCCATAATTTTCCCTTTTCTGTATAACTCTAACATACTATATGTATTTATATATCAAGAATATCAGCCAATATATTGACTTTGGATGTTTTTTACTCTAAAAACTAAATCTACATCTGTACCAAAAATCCAGTTTTGACTGGGTTCTATCTAGGGTGCTCATTCTTAACAGACTTTCAGTGTAAGTAATGAAAATGAGGTCTGTACTGTAATTGTCTAACTCAGCCTGTCGTTGTCTCACATTAACTCGGGATAGATTTTGGATTGTAGATTTTGTCCAAGGTCACTCACACTGATAGTCTATCAATAATCTATTATTGTGGGGTTTTAAGGAAAGTAGGTGAAGCGCTCTGATATCTTGTGTGTTTGTGCAGTAGATATAAAATTGAACTGAATTAAAATTAAAATGCAGCACAAAGGCATCTTTTCATTTGCAAATGTATACATGGGCCTGTGGGTATAGTTTTAAGACGGCTGCAAAAAAATGTGAACATATTTTTTAAAGTTGGAAAAATAATCTTGTCCCTCACTGTGAGGCATCATCATATATATTCTGGTCACTTGTTGACACTGAATGAAACATTCAAAGTGAAAGATTTCATGTTTCTCATGTTTGCACATTATGGAAATACTCCACCAATGCCAAGCATTACTGGAGACACACTGTACCAACAGTCAGACCAAGACTCTGTATTTGGAATGTCTTGCAACTTTAGTATCTCCAGTAAAACTTATAGTAAAGCTATTAATGTTTATTTCCCACGTCTGACCTTGTAATGAGCAGCCGGTCACTGCTTATAAGAGTTTAATATTTCTATTATTGTTATTTCATAGACATTGGTTTCCAACAATGATTTTTCTACACATTTTTCGTGGTTCGAACAGGCAGTGACTTGGAGTTTATTTGATTTGATGTCTGCTGTAATTGATGTTAGATGTACAGTATGTTGCTGTTGCCTGTAAGTGCAGAAAGTATTACTAGTCAAATGTACTAAAATATGAAAAGCAAAGTGACTGATCTATCATGACCTCAGAATAAAACTGATGATCAGTGTGGGAGCCACATTTTACTGTAGATGAGTGAAATGAGGCCAGATACAGTTTGTATTTGTAGTCTGAACCCCCTCAAAGGGTCACAAGTGGTGGCGTTCAGATTCTTTACTTGGATAAAAGTACCAATACATCCATCCATTATCTATCCATCCATCCATCCATCCATCCATTATCTATACACCGCTTAATCCTCACTAGGGTCACGGGGGGCTGGAGTCTATCCCAGGTGACTCAGGGTGAAGGCAGGGGACACCCTGGACAGGTCACCAGTCTATCACAGGGCTACACTTAGAGACAGACAACCAAGCACACTCACATTCACACCTACGGACAATTTAGAATCACCAATTAACCTCAGCATGTTTTTGGACATATGGGGAGGAAGCCAGAGAACCCGGAGAGAACCCACGCTGCACGGGGAGAACATGGAGACTCCACGCAGAAAGATCCCGGGTGTCCTCACTGGGACACGAACCAGCGACCTTCTTGCTGCGAGGCAACAGTGCTAACCACTGACCCACCTTGCAGCCCAGTACCAATACAGCAAAGTAAAAATACTCTATTACAAGTAAAAGGTTTGCATGAAAAAATCCTACTTAAGTAATTACATGGCAGCACAATGCAGTTGAAGTTTTGAAGTAAAAGTCCTGGTTTAGTTCCTCTAATTGATAAACAAAGTTCTTTGTTTTTTCTAATCTTTGATTTTGGTGAGATATTAGATGTTGAAACATTTATTAAAAAATACCTTGCAAGAAAATTAGGGAGCTGTTGACAACTCTAGAACCCAAAAGGTTGGATAAATACTCAAGTACAAGTACCTTAAAACTCCATGTTAGTGTAGTGGTTGAGCAAATGTACTTTATGTTCCACTGCTGCACATAATACATCTGAAAGGTCAAGGACTGATGAATGGGTAGGAAGAAGGAAAGACGATATTCTGCACTGATGATTCATATTCAGTTTGTTGGACTCCTCTCTGTTTTTTTGTAAGGGGCTGTTTCCATATTCAGGCTTCAAGCTGTTATTTAGATGAAACCATGTGGAACATCTGCAGGTAAATGTCGCTCTGGTTGAACTGCCTTTAAAACATCTGCAGTGGGACAAGAGGCCCGAACAAATTGTTCCCAAAAAAGGTTTAAGAAATGTACGTTCATCTCACATTTTAATCTGAAAAGCAGTTAAAGAAACAGACTGCTTTTGGGAAATGAATAGTGTATGTGGAAATCTAAAACATGCAAATAAAGACCAAAACCCACAAGTAGAGTCGCAGCAGCAACACAGTAAAGCAGGAGAAGCTCTGAATAGGCATGTTTGCATGAAGGCAAGTATCATTTTATGTGTTGCTTCTTATTCTGGTTTCTGGATATGCAACAAGTCAGGACATCGTTAATACTGAACAAAGTGGCTGAGATTTTAAGAAACACCTGTGCATGATTGATCGGAGAAAATGTGTTTATCTCAGGTTGACATTTGCGAACCAGAATCCTAATGCTCGTGTAAGCACAGCCAGCGTGATGCTCTGAAGGTGTTGGAAGGACGGATACAGGATTCTCTCTGCATGACGTCACTGCGGGTTGGGGGGAGGAGACAGACTGACCTGCTCTGTGAGGCGCCGTGTCCTCAGGAAGAAGCCCAAAAGACACCCAATGACCACAGCAAGCACCGACATGATGAGGAGCCCATTCTGTTTGCAGACGTTCTTCACCCTCACCCACACTGCGTCCAAAGCCACGGCCATCGTGAGTCACCTGTCCTGCCTCCTCCTCTCAGCAACCCATAAACCCAAAGCCTTAAAATCCAGGTGTGAGGACAAAAGCAGTAGCAAAAAAACCCAAAGTGAATAAAAAAAAATAAAAAAAAAGAAGCTCCGGGACAGGACAGAACGGGAAGCTATGTGAAGTATCCAATCCTCGTCTAAAGCACCTTCGGGCTCAGCATCCCGCTCGTCCTAACGCTGCGGCAATCTGCACTAAGCTAAGAGGATCCTCTCACTTTCCAGGCATCCCCTCCCAACCTGCTCCACCCATCAACAGCGCTGACCCACCGCCAGGGGGAGGGAACAGCTGGCAGCCATGTCCCAGGGAGTTAACATCACCAATCCTGTTAGAGCGCTACTGTATTAAACAGGTCTGAAGCTAGATTAAAGATCCATGAACAATTTGACAAAGGTTAACCTCACAGGCCTTCTGAGACTGCGACACAAACAGAAAACGGAGGGACGCTTGAGGTTTCTGGTCCAGAGCGGTTCAGGAACTCTTTGGCGATGAATCAGCAAAGCAGGTTCTCCATCAGTTGCACCATGACGTCTAGTACACTGTAGTAGTGATTAAAACACATCCATGTGGTAAGATTACGCCACCAGTTCTCCACCTATAGCCCCCAACATCAGTTAAAATATTTGGTTAGCTGAACCTCAAAACCTGACAGCAGGTTTGAAAGACAAACTATTTTTTCAAAGATCACAAAAAGTACGCCATTCTTCTATCTGACACTATAAAACCCTCAATCTACTCAACTGTCACGTGTAATTTCATAGAGGAAATGAACTTAATCTAAATTCATAATGTTTAATCAAAATCATTTCATTCTACATGCCTTGTTTAAAAATTTGCCACAAATCTAAACCAGAATCTGTAAAAAGCAAAAACTTCTTTCACAACTCAGAAGCCATGAGTGATTCAGCCACAATCAAATGTCAACATTTCAGGATCTTTCGGGCTGAACTGCAGGCTGTGTTTACACAGAGCAGACGGGAGGCAGACATTTCTCCCAGTATTTGTAACATCTGTGGGCCCTCAGACAAATGTTGTTTACATTGATTCTACTTTTATTTTTTTGTAAACAAAAAATAAAATCTAGGGGCTGCAAGGTGGCTCGGTGGTTAGCACCGTCACCTCGCAGCTAGAGGGTCGCTGGTTTGTGTCCCAGTGAGGACACCCGGGATCTTTTCTGGGGTTTGCATGTTCTCCCTGTGCAGCGTGGGTTCTCTCCGGCTTCCTCCCACAGTCCAAAAACATGTTGAGGTTAATTGGTGATTCTAAATTGTCCGTAGGTGTGAATGTGAGTGTGCTTGGTTGTCTGTCTCTAAGTGTAGCCCTGTGATAGACTGGTGACCTGTCCAGGGTGTCCCCTGCCTTCACCCTGAGTCAGCTGGGATAGACTCCAGCCCCCCCACGTCCCTAGTGAGGATTAAGCGGTGTATAGATAATGGATGGATGGATGTTTTGACCCTCTCAAAACATTACATTTTGAGATTTTATTTGCTCAAGATATTATGCACTAAGATGTAGTTTGCCGTTTTACCTCCTGCTGTATGCTGATGTCATGAGCAACACGCCCAGTCTTATTTATCATGATGTCATTAAAATAGCGTTTCCCCAACCGACCAGCATGAGCACGTGAAACTTAGCTGGTGTTGTAAAGTCAGACTGGGGTTATATTTTGAAGAGTCAACACCTGACGCAGTGACAAAGCATCCCTTTTGATCACAACGTTGGAAACAGGGCAACAGTACCAACTGATGAGAGGAAGTGATTGATTTTATTTTTTTCATGCGGTGACCCAGGTCTCTTTTCTGTCCAGCTGTCCACGACTTCATCCCACACCTCTCAATTATCTTCATAACCGAGGCAGCGTTCGTTCATTCTGCCTGCCATGTGCCCATTTGCTTTAAGGTTTCATTATCGGGGACTCTGCGTGTCGTGCCTGTTCCATAGCATCGCCAAACACAAATCTGACATCGTGTTCTGGCTGAATTATTATCTCAACTACTGCAAAATTACCACTATTGTTATTATCACATTATACCATCGGAGCAGTCCAGGCTCTTTATGACAATAATATCAGTGCTGTTTTCATTCTCGTCAGCCAGTGAAGTCCGAGGCGCCAAATTAGTGTATTTAACTTTGTGAAGGGCGACGGAAGCAGCCTTTACTCGTCCTCTGGCCTCTAATTGGAGCCCGAAGACAAATATTTCTCTCCTGTTCATTTACTCTAATCCCGAAGAGGAAGGCTGCGATTCGCTGCTTTAATGAAAACTCCTTTCAGGCGATGAAGAGCAAAGAGGGAACGACTTCATTCAAATACCCCATGAGAAGCCAACCTGATATATGCTGTTTCCTTCGCTCAAATAAAGGAAATAAACCTTTTAAAAGCACTGAGACTAATTTTTAAAGAGCAGTTAAATTAGGCACATAATTCAGTGTGATGCAGAGGTCACATTCAGCTATTTTCTCCTTCCAAGTCATTTAAGCTGCCTGTTGTATTCACAGTTAGAAAATATTTCCCCGTGCAAGTACTTAGTGTACGCATATTTTACATACGCATCTCTCTATGTGTAAATGTTTTGTTTTTTTTTTTAAGTAATTTGTGTGCCTTTGGCCTCGTCTGCTTCCCTTGGAGGTTAAATCTGAATAGCTATGTTAATGTCCTTGACTATTTTAGTCATTATTTGAATCCCAAACAAAATGTTCAAAACGAGCAGCCGTAATGCATATGGATCTGCTGATGAGGTCGAGGGCAAAACACTCGCCTCTTTATCTGTGCCTGATCTGAACCTGCTCTAGTCAATGGCTGACATTTGAATAATTTTCTCTCTGTATAGTGGAGCAAAAAAATGCTACTAAAGACTATTTTCTAGTGATGAATCTATCGACTGTTTTTTTCTACTGAGAAGTAAGCTGCTCATTTTCCTCCAAAAAAATCCCAAATATCAGTTTCATTTATATTTTAATAAATTGTATGTGATTGTCTAACGCAGCACAGTATAAACAAAGGTTTACAGATTAAAGTGCAAAACTGCAGGTTTGAACAGGAAAGGAACTCCAACATGATTTTAAAAAGAGCAAGAGATTATTATTGAAGTCAGTCGTACTATCTACTAAGTTTTAACTCCGACAGAAATTCAACTTTCCATCAAACCCTTAACAAACATAAAAATTTCAGTCCGTATATTAAGTGCAACGTGGTTACGGTGGATATTTTACAAGCACGAAGCAGATAAAGAAACTTATTTTCTCAAGTAATTCTTCTCTTTAGACTATCAAAGTAGCTTTAAATTCTATGAAAAATATCCCCACATTTACAGCACAGGTGACGTGTTTAAGTCACGTGTTCGGTCAGTTTGCCGGACGACCTCGAGATTCAGCAGAGCACAGCATCTTAAGCTTGTTCCATTCTGACAACTAACAGAAAATATGTAAATGATAATTGCTTTACGAGGAATATTTATTAAAATAGAATGTAAATGAGCACAGATCAAGAGAAAAGTGAATAAATGTAAAGTGTGTTTTATCTTCACGTGAGTGTGTGTGTTGCTGTGGTCTGTCGTTAGAACTGCATCGTGGACAAACCTTTTGTGATATTCTGAAGAATTCACTGATTTTCAAAACCTTTACAAACATTTTATATTCTAACCAATGACTGGAGCCAAAAACGACTTCTGTTGTGCTGCATAAATGACAAAACGACACTGAAGAGAGACATTTGTTATAATGGAAGTTTTAAAATTAAAAAGAAAAGGACCTTTGCATCTGTTAAAAATGTTGCTGCCATTTTCAGCACTGATGCCATTGAATATGCTGGATAATTGTAGCGCCTTTAACATACTGAGTCCTCAAAAAAGTATATCATCAGAAACCTGAAATTTCACTGTACTGGTGACACACTTTTATTCCTGGATTTGAGAGACCTTTCAAATGTAGGACAGTGCTTTTCATCCTTTATTTTTTGTTTTCTCAGATGTCGATGAAACTGCCTCTCCATCATCGACCTCAGTTCATTTACCTTCCACAATAAAATGAGTTGAAATGCATGTGTCAAAATATAGGAGAGAAGAACTGTCTACCTTTGGCTTAACCGTTCGCTCTGCGTTCTAAAACATAACCAGATAAAAATTCAAATTTGTTAATTAAGATGAGCATTTTAAGTCGCAATCTACCTTTTGTTTGGTTGTGTTGACGTGATAATGTTGGTTAATTGTATCAACTTAATATTATGTGTAGTTTAAATTTAAATGTTTGTGTTTGTTTGATTTTATTTAATCTATTAATTTACTGCGCCTTGAACTAAATTCAAGTAAATTAGTTGATAATTACTTTGATAACTTCACTTTCTCCACCTTCACTTCACGATTTTAAGCCCTTAAAAACAACAACTTGCGTTCATGCTACCAGCTGTTCAGTAAATGGCAACATAACTACCAGTAATTGTGGAGGAAAGACTTTCTTAGTCATAGTTCATTGGTTGAACTGCAAACTGTTACGTAACTTTTTCTTTGTTTGAGCCTAAACATTTTTATTTTAGTGTCTGTCAGATCCACCCTTTAAAACCTGTAGTCCACAGACACAATCTCAGTTATGTCTCAAACGAAATATCTGCCCGACATTAGAACACTGTGAGTTTTGAAAAATATCCCAAACATGTAAGGGATCAAAGCCACTAATGCAAGCTGGACAGAACAGACATGAGGCCGCTTGTCGTGCCACATTCATCAGATCTGATAAACATTTCAAATCCATTATTGTCATCCTCAACCAGCTGCTGCTGAAGGTCACCCACCAGGCGCTATGGACGGAACTGTTGAGCCGGAGCGCTGAGAAAATCAATGGGCACAAGAATAACATATTACTGCAACACAAACCTCCAAATAGGCAGATTAAGGGTCTAATTTTAGCCATATGTTAGTTAATTATCGCTTCAAAAAATAAAAATAAAAATGGCAACGGATATTCTGCACAG